ATTTTAACAACTCTGAGCTATTAGTTAAGTTCTCCCCAAGCGAGCTCGATGGGCCGAATGGCCTCCTCTCGTTTGTATAGTTCTTATGTTCTTATGTTCTTATTACTTCTGCAAAGTTGAACATCAGTTCTCATTGTTTCAGACAAATTTCCAAATGTTTTAGTACATACAGTGCTGCTTGAAAGTTTGATTTTTCTATTGTTTTACCATAATTTTCTTATTTTATCATCACCAGTTTTTATATATGAAATATCAGGTTTATATTCATCAATTCCATGTACCTGTTTTAAGGGAACTGTGTAAGTAGCCAGCAGACTATGTGAAACATTTAATCAGAGTATGTGCAAAAGCATGTGAACAGAGTACGTAATAGACTCAGGTGAAACACATGTGGAAGCTCAAGTAATCAATTAAGCAGACCGATCAAATGAGACATCGTTAGGAAAGGTTTTGAGCAGCACTGATGAAAAGAGAGAGGAAACCAACCCAAACTACTGTCGTGCCAAGACATAAGCACACAGATCAACGATGCTGAGAGGAAAGGAGACATCCAGGGACATCAGGAAGAAGGTGGTGACAGCCCATCAGTCTGGGGAAGGCTACAAGACCATCTCCAAAAGATTCCAGCTCCATCCATCAATTGTAAGACAAATCATTTACAAATGGAGGGCACTCAGCATCACCGCAACTCTGCCCAGAAGTGGACTGCCATCAAAACTTTCACCAAGAAGCACCAGAAAAATTATAATTCAGATAAAGGCCAACCCACATATTACCTCCGAGAATTGCAGAACTCTTTTGGCAGCATCTGGGATAAATGTACATGTGTCTACTATCACTACATTCATGGCAGAGTTGCTAGAATGAAGCCTCTGCTCTCAAGAAAGAACAAAGTTGCCCATTTAAACTTTGCCAGAGAGCACTTGGACAAACCAGAAGCCTTCTGGGAGTCCATTCTCTGGACAGATTAGTCCAAATTGGATTATTTGGCCACAATTACAGGTGCCATGTTTAGAAAAAAGTCAACACTGCATATCAAGAAAAGAATCTCCTCCCAACAGTGAAGCATGGTGGTGGAAATGTGAAGGTCTGGGCCTGCTCTTCTGCCTCAGGATCTGGATGACTCCATATTATCCAGGGAACCATGAATTCCCAGGCCTATCAACAAATTCTTGACCAGAATCTCCTGCCATCCGTCAGGGAGTTGAAGCTGGGACAGAAATGGACTATGCAACAAGGCATTCCAGCAAAACTACCAAGGAATGGCTTAAGAAGAAGAAGATTTGCACTCTGTATTGGCCCAAAGTCCGGACCTCAATCCCATAGAAATGTTGTGGCAAGATCTAAAGCAGGTGGTACATGCCAGATGTCCCTCAAACCTCTCTCATCTGGCTGAGTTCTGCAAGGAGGAGTGGGCAAACATCCCCAAAAGCAGATGTGAGACACTGGCTCATGGTTACAGAGGATGTTTGGTTGAAGTAATGGCTGCAAAAGGAGGTGCCACAAGCCACAGACTTTCTGTTTTTTGAGAGATAAATTACTTTCATTGAATAAACAATGAAAATATATCTCTTTTTTCTGTGTGTCCCTTATTTGGAAGGTCTGCTTTACAAATTGGGATTTAAATGTTCATTTCAAAAGGTTATTTAAATTTATTTTTAGAAAACAATAACCATGTTTGGAGGGTTCACAAACTTTCCAGCAGCACTGTATATGCACATGGTTTTGTACACTTGTCATCATTTGGCACAGTCTTGTTGGTCAAATAATTTATGTAGTTTCTCCACTGTAATAATTTTACACACAAAACTATATATGTATGTGATCATCACATTATCCACCACATGCAAAACAGTTAACCAATCTTTCAAAATGATTTAAAAATATATTCCATAAATTGCAGTGATACGGCATTGTTGTGTTCTTGCTTCCCACAGTACATGATTTGGTTTGATTTTGTTGTTCTTGTATTGCCATTTTGCTGTTTCTTTTTTTGGTTTACAATGCTGTGCCACTCTTTTGTTTGCTACTTTGCTGTGTTTTGACATTTTAAGATATGCATGCAAGCGACTGCTTTCTTTTGTCAGTGAACGTTATATACTGTAATGCAGAGCCTTCCAATGTTGCATCTGGTGTCTTTGAGAAATGAGAAAGTGGCAGTTGACTAGGCCTATCATTCAGAACTGTGAAGCTCAGGAGCCTATTACACTGACGTACTGTACTGACAATAAATCTAAGAACTTTGATGCTCAAGATTAAAACAATGCGAATTGTACTTTTCATTTTGGTGGCACTATAATTCATTGGTGGAATTATTTGCTTTTGAGACACAACATAATTTTTGTTGGGTAAGTTACAGACTTTTGCGACTAAATCAGAGTGTTCTAGTATATGCATGAACTGTTTGGGAAATATTCTTACAGTCTTGATAATGTTAAGCATGTTTCATGAAATGTGCCAAAGCAAAGAAAAACTGTAAATAGACTTTTTCTTCATTAACTTACATTTGGTCCAGAATACCTTTAATTCCACTGGCTATCCGGCTGATCAAAATATCCTACTGAACGTACAATATTCTACATACGATATACTATACAAATTGCATATCTAAAAATGATATTTGAGTATATTTAAATCGTGCGCATATTATACAGAATTAATCGTGAATTAGAACTTACCCCGGAGATAGATCCAGCAGATCAATAGACTTCGTATTAAATTTCCCGGCTTTCTCATATTCGAGGATTATTCCTGTAAAGGTATGCGTTTACGTAGGAGCTGAGCGTAGAAGATCATCTTCGAGAAAATCAGTTTGTTTATTTAATTGTTTTTTTCTTTTAGCAACGTTATTCAAATTTTAATTGGTTATGTTAAATGCCAAGAAAGTAAGAAAGCGGGATACTACAGGCATGCCTGCCAAACAAATACATAGGCCTACTGTTGTGAAGATGAAATGTTAAATTCAGACTAGTTTAATAATTAACATGAATAAGAAATCAACGTTTAGACGCATAATAAAAAGAAGGCACGGGTACCATATATTTGCAATACCTGGGGGGTAATATCTGAGGAGAAATCGCTTAAGCTTCATCGCGATCAGGTCGGAGACTGTAAACAGACAGTCACTATGACAACGCAACGTGATCACAAGCTTTTGTTATACGGGACACGTATAACACGTAGCGCCATTTCATGTATTACATCTGACACTATTATAAATCTTTAAAATGAACTTGAATTTGACCATATTTTATTTGCAAACCGTGGCTATAGTTATATAGGCGGGTACTGGAAGCGTGATAGAAATGTATACTAAGACGTTATCTCGTAGTTTCATTAATTGTAGCTTATAAATCAATTCTTTGGGTGTGTTTTCCATGCACATATGAACACGAATGAGCTTGACACAAATATCTTTTTGTGCATGTCCTCCATTATCAGCTAAATTGGTGGTGGGCAGTGGGCACCAAAGTTGAAGAGCTCATTTCAATGATTATAGACAATTGTGCTTTCAGGCAGAGGCGTGCACAAATACATCAAGAAGTATTTTGTTACAAATTACAAATACTTGCTTATCAAATGTAACAAAATAAAATACAAAATACCGGTGTGAGAAAATGTATTTAATTAAAACTGATTTGTAATTTGAAAATACAAAAATACGTGTGAAATAGTAACAGTACATTACGAATAGGGGAGACCAGGAATGGTTGTAAGGTTCTTTTTTTTTTTACATTTTTGCATGTACGTAGGAGCTCTTCGATCTATCTAATCGCATTCAAAATTTGATACAAATTACCACGTGTCTTTTTATTAACTGACGCAGGTTTTTATCTCTTTATCAGAAGCAGACAATGAATGGTTTAGTCTCAAGCATATGGAGTGAAATGCTACAATTTACCCCATAGTCGGTGATAGTTGTAACACAGTCCTGGATTAAATGTAACATTATAAACGGTGTAAAAAATGTACACAAATAATTCAAAGGTTTTTTTTTTGGAGGGGGGCGTATGTGTGAATATGTGTACAAATGTGTACAATACATGTCAATTGTCGTGTCTTCTATTTTAGAGGTAACATGCGTGAGGCCGACTGTTTTGTAACATTCGCCATCCTTTATTGACGTAGCTCCTGAACCAAAAACCCCGCCCCTGCCATATCACTGGTCTTTAGCCAAACACGTTCAAGATCAGCACTCGAGATGATCTACTTTCCATATATATATATATATATATAGTTAAATTATTGCTGATTGTCTTCTTGTAGCAACATTTCAGGTCACATATTTCACTTACCATGATTTTTTCTAAAATGTGCCAAATATGTACAGCAAAGTAATTAAATTATGTGTTTAAGTGTTTGCCATTATTTAAACATAAATGAAATGCTTTTCAAATATTTTTTTTTATTTTACACACCTTTTTGGTGACACACGCTCAATTTCATTGTGTCCCACAGTGCCATGTAATCAACTTCCTCGAGAAGTATAAGTCATAAAATTATATATATATATATATATATATATATATATATATATATATATATATATAATAGCAATTTTAGACTATACTAAACTTTATTTTATTATGCAATTTAATCTGGTAAAACTTATTTACTTTTTTCTTCATATTGTACTTGTCCCAGTAATAATTTTCCACCCTGTAAGAATGTGCTTTATTGCCTTAAAAAAACTACAATTCCATAAAAGCCATTTACAGGAAGTGACACCATTTGTTTTTGGAGGGAATTCAACTTTGGAAACTGAGGTAAGCTTCAACTGTCACTCTCACTTTACTTTACATGTCACATCTGTATGGGTCACTCTCAGTGGCGTAGGCAGAAATTGTATTTTGGGCGGGCCATTGAAAAAGTGAGCGGGCCTATATTTTTTCCTAGAAAGAATATTACTTAAATAATAATTAAACCTTAGAGAGTAGAAAAAATAATAGACAAACAAACTGCAAAAACACACCTTTATTTTGCAATATTCGGCAAAGGCAATAACAAAACACCGTCTAACCATCATGTTCAACAGTGCTCAATAAAGGCTGGACAAACCACCAGCATAGACATAGTCTATATATTTTTTAATACATTTGAATAATAAAAATAAACTAAAAATGTATTTTGATCAAACTTGCCTGGGTGGGCCAGGGAGTAATGTGGGCGGGCCAGTGCCGCCCTGGCCCATTACTGGCTACGCGCCTGGTCACTCTTAAAGTGCCACCCTGTTAAGGTAAATTATGGAAAATGTTAATTAAGTACAGTAGAATATTTTTTAAAAACATATTAGATTTAGTTATTAAAGGTGTGTTAATCTATTGAAGGTTAGCTAGCTAAATGTTGATCAGTTAAAGAGCTACAGCTAGATCCACCCTTTCGGGTTCCACCCTGTTAGGCCTATGAACCTAACAGGGTGGAATTTCTAAAGAGAGAGCAATAATTATTATTTTTTTTCATTAATTAATAATATTATTAACTTCATAAAGTTTGTGTGTATTCTACCATTAGGCTATATATAAATATATAAATGTGTGTGTGTGTGTGTTTGTAGCCTGTAAATACTATGGTGTGTGTCATAATGTTTATATTTATTATTGATGTTACACTATACTACGGGTTAATACAATAGAAAACGTTGAAAAAAATGATAAAATTACATCCATTTGTTAGTGCAGCAGAGATACAGCATTGGTACAGGGCAAAGCGTGATGCAGACCCAGAAAGGACAGCCAGGTACCTGCAGAAATAAAGAGAGAAATGGCAGCGGGATGTGGAGACAGGGAAAAAGAAAAAAATTGCAGACCTTACTGAGCGAGATAAGCGTGTCCAGAGAAAAAAGTGGAGGGAAAGAAAGAGAGAGGTAAAAGCCATGGAAAAGGCCAGGGCAGCGATACCTTCTCCACCTGATACACCCAATACTCCTGATACACCAACAGGCCTTTCACCTCCACCTAATACTCACAATAATCTTGATACATCAACCGGCCCTTCACCTGCAGAATATTTAAGGTTTGAATTCCTGTTCATTATTTGTTAGAGTAGGTTCAATTATCTCATTCATAGAGCATGGGAATATAATTGCATATTAACTATGTGTCTTCATTTTTTTTGTTTTAGGCAAAGAAAGTTAGGTCAACGTCAGAAAAGAAGAAATAAAAAAAGGCTGGAAAGAGAAATTGAAAAGATTACGGCTCTCCTGGCAAAAGAAAAAACAAAAACGGCGAAATACAGAAAGAGGTGGCAACAAAGTCAGGCAAAGACCCATCCCCAATTCCGTAGGGCATAACTTGATGGGATGCTTGAACGTTCTGTCCTTCTGAGCGTATGCAGGAAATTACTGCTGCGTGCTGCAATTGTTGAAGAAATACGAAATAAATACCAAAACACCAAAAAAGAGAGAGAAGAGCAGATGGTTGCCAGAGTCACATTTGGGCAACATCATTAAAAAGTATAAATTACAGACACTTGCACAGAAGACTTTTGGATTTTCACAGAAGAGAACAAAGGTGCAGGGTTGCATCACATCATTTTACTGGAAAGCAAGGAATATTAGGGCATCTACAAGGGAGAAGTTGGTAGCCTTCTTTTTGAGAGATGATGTCAGCCGGCTGACTACTGGAAAGAAAGAAACAGTCACTAGAAAGAAGCAGAAGAGGCTGTTATTGGACACTTTCAAAAATCTCTACAGAAAGTTTCTATCTGAAAATGCAGACCAGGTGTCGTTTTCATTGTTCTGCAGGTCAAGGCCATTTTGGGCCGTAAGACCCACTGAGAGTGATAGAAAGACATGTCTTTGCAAAATCCATGAAAACACTGAGTTCATGACCAGCACCCTCTTAAAATTTGGGCTTTTATCAACCAAAAACCTTGAAGAGTTAGCTGATGCGACAGTGTGCAACTCTGACTCAAAAGCTTGAGCATATGGAGAATGTGACACATAGAACCACAGCTGTCCCTACACTCAGGCCTGCCTCCAACAACATGACTACGTTCTTCCAGTGGGCCACGGAGACCTTCACCTCAGATGAGGAGAAAAAGTCCATCATAACAGTCAAAAAAGAATTCTCTAAAACAGAAGATGAAGTTGTTCTGAGTTGTTGTGCACGCATGGTGAAGTTCTGAACCCACCTCTTCAACATTCGCTGGCAATACAGGGCCTATAGGGAAGTTAGAGAAAATCTCCAGAGCCATGAATGTTTAATTCATGTGGATTTCAGTGAGAACTATGTATGCAAATATGCAAATGAGGTTCAATCTGTGCATTTTAGGGGGTCGCATCTACAAGCGACCCTACACACAGGTGTATTATATACAGCAACACAGAGGCCTCCCCTTCTCTTCTGCTCCATATCACCGTCCCGAAGGCATAACCCACCAGCAATCTGGGCACACCTAGATCCAGTCTTGGATATGATTAGAGAAAGATTTCCTCAGGTCAGCCGCCTCCACTTCTTCAGTGATGGGCCTGCTACCCAGTACCGGCAGAAGGGAAACTTTTTCCTTTTTTCATCTGAACCATTCAGTAGAGGCTATGATGTGACCTGGAATTTTTTTGAGGCCAATCATGGCAAAGGGGCCCCTGACAGTGTTGGGGGCACCCTTAAACGTTCAGCCGACAGGCTTGTTTGCATGGGAGAGGACATTCCTAATGCAGAGATGCTCTTCCTCAAGCTCAAGCAGCAGGAATCACTTGTGGAGCTGTTCTTTGTAAGTGAGGACAGTGTGGAAGCGAAAGTGAATGAAATGCTACAGGTAAGTGCATTTTTATTCCTGTAATTCAAGTTTTTAGGCTTTAACTGTTCAAATGCATATATGACATTAAATACTTAGCTGAAATCTTCTAAAAGTAATACGGTTAACAGTACTCACCTTTGAAAATAGCAAATGAACATAATTGGCAAAAAACATTGCAGTGCCCTTGTTACAGTGAGCCTAGTCTAACAAACTGCAAAAGTGTAATACCATGTACATTAAATACATGGTATTAAAGTTTTGTACAGTGGACTTAATTGGCAACACTTAATATTACTGTGCCCTTGTTATAGTGAATCTACACCTTGGGATACAGTGTAACAAACTGTGTGCAAATGTTTTTGTACAGTTTGTTACACTGTAATCCATGGCATAGATACACTGTAATAT